AGAGGAATTTTTTAGGCTGGAAAAAAAACAAAACCTTGGTTCATGAATGTTAGGAGCAAGCCAGCAATAAATCACACAGAGTATAAAAAGTACATTCTTTATTAGAAGAAACAAGGTCTGTTCAGGAGTGCCTAATGAGCAACTCTTCTCTGGTAGGTCCCGCCCCTGTGAGGCAGTTGTGGAGGCTGAAGGTCCCCACCTTCACACAGGTGCCTAAATCTGCTCCCCCCAGGTCCTTCCCAAGTAATCTGAGACTACGCTGGCACCCCTGCCTTTGCTCCTCCCACTTCACACCTCTCCTGGTCCTGGGAGACCAGGCGTGAGGGTAGCTGGTCGCAGCAGGAGGGGGAGACACCCATCCTTCTTCACCAGCCTGACTCATCTCTGCCTTTTGGCTTCCCTCCTTCAGCTTCTGCCTCTGATTCTTGACTTCTCTCTGCCACAGGGGCATAGGAAGGGGTGGGGGTGGGGGGCATTCAGCCCCGGTGCCATCATGGTTGTTTTTTTGTGACAAATTATCAAGGAACAATTACTGCCCTACCAGGGCGGTTCATAAAAAACGTTTTTTTGAAAATACCTGCTCCAAAGGTCTTATCTTACTACACTAGGGATTATATAGCTATATCTGAAATCTCATGCATATCAGTTAATATCTTGACCCTCCTCCACGAAAATAACGGTGTACTTGGCCGTTTTCATATGTCACGAAGGCTGAAATTTCAATTCAGTGGAGCCAAAACACAATCCATCCTGTAGATTTAAGTATCTGTCCACAGTCGCCTACTTGTTATCAGGGGCCCAGAATCCACACCCCTTTGTAAGAAAATATGAAGTGACGTAAAACCATTTTTGCAGGCCAAACCCCCCCACAAAAAAACCCCACAATGTGTGTGTGTGTGGGGGGGGGTGACAAGAAATTTCCCACACTGGGTACCACCTGACCTTCCTACGCCTCTGCTCTGCCATAGACTCTTCCGGCTCACTAAACCCTGTTACCTCTTCAGCTTTCAACACCTCCTTCCTGGGTTCTGAGCCTTTCCCCCTCTGTATCCAGCCAGTCCATGACAATGAAGCAGAATTTCTTTTCAAATGTATGCCACCCCAAGGGCAGAAAATTACAACTCTTGTTTATGTAGTGGTGTTAATGAACGCCAGTGATGCTGTCATGCATATAGGGATGAAGAGGTGGTCTTGGGGGGGGGAGACCAGATTTCAGTCGCTTTTAGCACTTCTCTGAACTTCCCTGACAAACTGCACTACATGACAGTGAGAGATTTGGTGGGTCAATTTTACCATCCACAGACCTGAGATCTTCTGGTATCAAATGACCATCTTTTCTATCCTCCACCTCCCATCAGCCAGCACAATCTCCTCAACATGCAATCTCCTCAACAAAGGATTTATTGACTAGCCACTTAAACAGCATTAAGGAAGCAATAATTTGATGATACGCCTTGATGTTCAGTGGGGTTTGGCAAATCAGAAAACTGCAGAAGACTGCTCTAGTGACTGTCTATTCATTCTTAAAGCAGGGGTGCTAAACCCAGACCCTGAGAGACATTCTCTAGTTTGAAGGGTGCTTCCAGACAGGTATTTATTATGGGATTATTAGGACACGGGTGGCGCTGTGATCTAAACCACCAAGTCTCTTGGGCTTGCCAATCGGAAGGTTGGCGGTTCGAATCTGTGCGATGGGGTCTTGCTCTGTCCCAGCTCCTGCCAACCTAGCAGTTCGAAAGCACACCAGTGCAAGTAGATAAATAGGTACCGCTGAGGCAGGAATTTAAAACGGTGCTTCCATACACTCTGGCTTCCATCATGGTGTTCCGTTGCGCCAGAAGTGGTTTAGTCATGCTGACCACATGATCCAGAAAGCTGTTTGTGGACAAACGCTGGCTCCCTTGGCCTGAAAGCAAGATGAGTGTTGCACCCCATAGTTGCCTTTGACTGAACTTAACTGTCCAGAGGTGCTTTACTTTTACCTTTTACCTATGGGATCAGTGCTCATCATGACTGCATGGTTTGCAGCATTTATATGACCGTGTTGTCTTCAAAATGGCAGCACATATTTTCCTCCCATTTAATCCAGATTTACCCTGGGGGCGGGAATCATATATATATAACCTAACAACGGTTGCTAAGAACGCACTTGTGATATCTCAGTGACCCCTCGGCAAATTAAGCCCCTGTCTAGAAACTCCCTAAGGGAGAAGGACAATGCACAGTGCAAGCCAATGCGTGTTTATGAGGAAATGAGTCCCACTGTGTTTTAATGAGGTTTACTCCCAGGAAAGTCTGCAGAGAGTCACTGTTGTAAAGAACTCTTGACTGTGTTGGCTTCATCTTTACCACTAGGAAGCAGGATATAAACAGCCATCTCAAGGAGGACCACCAAAGGAGGACATTTGCCAACACTGCAGTTCATTTTAGGGCTTACTGAGTGACCTTGGCAGAGTCCCTGCCCCTCAACCTAGCCTACCTCACAGGGTTGTTGTGGGGATCAAATGAGGAGGAGGACAACCATGTGTGCCACTTTGAGCTCCTTGGAGAAAACAGTGGGATATAATTGCAATCAACAAATTTTCAACAAACGCCATCAGAGACTAAAAATAATAATAATACACACAAACATGAGTTACTTACAACTATTCCCTTTGTTATAAACATGGCATCTTTTGTTAACAAAGTGTTTGCATAGATTTGCAAACCCCAAAGATTAGCCCAATCCCTCCTTGATCGCTGTTAAATACATTCCGTCAAGGAGTATCATTCCAAGTGATTCTGTCACAGGGCTCGGCTAAGTAACTTGATTTGAGAGGAATTCCAACCTGCTCAGCTAATCCCTGCACCAGATCACTGGGCCCAAAAATATTCTCCTAATTAGTTGGATGGCAGCAACATCAAGGCTGCCTACCTGGTAGCACTATGGCACTAAAGGAGATCAAGGTGCTGCGATAGTCAGGAAAGCCCCTCTGAATGGAAAGGTGATGTGAAAGCAAAGTGCACAAGCCCCAATAGAAAAGTCAATTATCTAAGCTATCTGATTTGGCTGTGGCTCATATGAAGCTGGAACTGAAGATGCCAGGGTGGTAAAGGTAAAGGTACCCCTGCCCGTACGGGCCAGTCTTGCCAGACTCTAGGGTTGTGCGCTCATCTCACTCTAGAGGCCGGGAGCCAGCGCTGTCCGCAGACACTTCCGGGTCACGTGGCCAGCGTGACAAGCTGCATCTGGCGAGCCAGCGCAGCACACGGAACGCTGTTTACCTTCCCGCCAGTAAGCGGTCCCTATTTATCTACTTGCACCCGGGGGTGCTTTCGAACTGCTAGGTTGGCAGGCGCTGGGACCAAACGATGGGAGCACACCCCACCGCGGGGATTCGAACCGCTGACCATGCGATCGGCAAGTCCTAGGCGCCGAGGTTTTACCCACAGCGCCACCCGCGTCCCCTGCCAGGGTGTTAGGCGCATGGAAATGCTTGAAACCACTTTTCTTCGATTTCTTCAGAGACCCTAAAAAGCTCACTGGGTAACCTTGGGCTATTCACTACCTCTGAGCCTCAACTACCTCACACGGTTGTTGCAGAGTTCCAATGAGGAAGAGGAAAGCCGTCTACGCCACCTTGAGCTCCTTGGGTCTCCCTCGGGAGGTGGTGGACTCTCCTTCATTGGAGGTTTCTAAGCAGAGGTGGGATGGCCACCTGCCATGGATGCTTTAGCTGTGATACCTGCATTGCAGGGGGCTGGACTAGATGACCCTCAGGGTCCCTTCCAACTCTGTGATTCCACGTGGATGGATGCCAAGCATGCATTTTAAAGAATGATTAACCACTCCAGCTGATCCATAGATCTTTTGGCGCCAACTTTTTCTAGGTCACAATACCAACTGCAACGGTACGGAGCAGGTGGCGCTGTGGTCTAAACCACCAAGCCTCTTGGGTTTGCTGATCAGAAGGTCGGCAGTTCGAATCCCTGCGACGGGGTGAGCTCCTGTTGCTCTGTCCCAGCTTCTGCCAATCTAGCAGTTCGAAAGCACACCAGTGCAAGTAGATAAATAGGTACCGCTGTGGTGGGAAAGTAAACAGCATTAACATGCGCTCTGGCTTCTGTCATGGTGTTCTGTTGCGCCAGAAGTGGTTTAGTCCTGCTGGCCACATGACCCGGAAAGCTGTCTGTGGACAAACACCGGCTCCCTCGGCCTGAAAAGCAAGATGAGCGCCTCAAGTCGCTTTTGACTGGACTTAACCGTCCAGAGGTCTTTTACCTTTACTTTACCAAGTGGTGTGTAGAATTATTAACAGGTAGAAAGGTTTGCTTACCCAGCCAAGACAAGAGAAAATGCTTAGCAGTGTTCAAAGGTGAGAACTACACCAGCCCTATTTATGATGGTGACCCATCACAACCGATGCATGTATGGGGAACAGAAAAAAACTTAAAATGAACTGCTGGATTATTCCCGCACACCCTTTCACTGACCTGGATCATCCTCCAGTTTTCTGGCGACTAGCAAAGGGGGCCGCATCCTGGTTTTCATAATAGATAGATAGAGTGCCAACTTGACCCCACGATCGTGGGTACCCAGCCCCTTCATGGGGAATTTTGTGGGTACCCAGAGCCCCTGCACCTATGATAGATAGATGGATAGATAGATAGGAGCCAACGACTAGGGGCTGAGGTCCCTTCGCGCTCACCCCACCCAATAAAATATTTGAGGGGCTGGGCTCCCCCAAAGTTAATGGCCAGGCCTATTGCCATTCAAAGAGTGTGGGAGTGCGGTGACATGTGGTTGCTTATGCGCGGGAGGGGGGGGGCAGAGTAATATTTTATTCAAGTTGGCGCTCCTGGAAAGCAAGAAATGGCACCTCTCCTCTCCCCCCCAGCTTCCAGTCTCGCCGCTTAGGGCTCAAAGAAGCAAAAGCAACGTGGCCGCGTGCTCCTCCTCGCCGAGCCCGCCCCCGGGGCGCTCGGCTCCGCTCCGCCCGCCCTGCCGTCGCAACCAAACTCCTCACCAGCCAAGGGAGGGAGAGGGAGAGACGGGGAAGCCGCCGCCGCCGCCACCGCGCCTAAGCCGCCGAGGGCGCACGGGCGCGCACGACGCTTGTGCCACGGAGAAGCCTCGACGGCGTCACCTGATCTAACCTGGCGGCTTGGCTGTCGGAGGAGGCAGCCCGAGAGGGAAGGGCTGGGCTGGGCTGGGCTGGGAGTACCGGGAGGGGTGGAGGGAAGGGAGAGAGAGAGGAGGAGGAGGAGGGCGAGGGAAGCGAAGAGCCGCCTCCTGACGTCTGGAACCTGCTGTGCAAGTGAGCGCAGGCGGCGGTGGCGCTCCTTGTGTCCTTCCTCCCCGGGGCGAGAGAAAGGACGATCCCTCGGTGCGCGGCCATGGCAGAAGCCCAGCAGCGCCGGATCCGGAGAGGCTAGGGGAGGCTGACCCCTGGGGCTTGGATCGGGCGCCCCGCACCTGGCGCAGCGCTGGAGGGCGGAGAGCCGGAGGCTGCCACGCCGGGTAAGGCTGCGCCGAGTCAGGGGTGGCGGTGGTGGTCGGGGCAGGCGGAGCCCACCCTCGGGGAAGGCGGGCAGGCCGGCGCGCAGGTCCGCCCCGCAGACAGGAAACAGCTGATCGCTCCTGCTGGGCTTTGGCCTGCGGCCTCCGGAGGCGCAGGGAGCACCTGGCCGCGTTGCGATGCGCCTTGCCAGCCCGGCCGGGTCAAGGGCCTGCCTGTCTGCGGGGTTGGAGAGCCGGGCATGCGGGGACTGCACAGGAGGAGGAGGAGGAGGAGGAGGGAAAGGCGCGCTTCCCTCTGCTGCAGGATCGGGGCTGGGGAGAGGAGGTGGGGATGGAGAGCAGACCTCTTGGAAGGTGATTGTTATTATTATTATTTTGAGGGGGGTGTATAGAATTGGTGGAGCTTGGCCAGGCCTTCCCTCCCCATCTTTCTCAGACACAAAAGGAGGTGGGCTTGCTGCTGCTGCTACTGAGGCCAGATTTTGAATGGGAGCGGGTGCATCTATGGGGACAGAGGAGGGGGAGCATCTGAGATGGGGGAGGTGTCATTGAGAGATGGCCGCTGGTGCCGCAAGTACAGAGCCCAGCCCAGGTAAGGGAAGGGGAGGCCAAGCGAGGAGCTTGTGGGTCGATTGTGGCCAAGTCCTCTCCCAAATGGGGTCCCCGGAGCCTTGGAGGGGGTCTCAGCTCTTGGATAAGGGGGGAATGTCAGTGCATCCAGCGTGGCAGGTAGGAGGTTCCCTTTATCTCTCAATGACGAGAGAGGTATATAAAAGAGCAGAAGGCCACTTTGGGTAGGGACTGGCGGCTAGAAATCAATAGAGCTGGAGGTTTCCTCTTCCTCCTCCCGGATTCTGCTGCTCCCTGCTATCTTCCTACCAAAATAATACCACCCCCCTTCCCAGGGATTCACACTGCTCGCCAGCTTGGATTCCTGCTGCAGCCCCAGACTTCTTCCTAAACAAAGAGACGAAGGGTCCCTCCAGTCGACTTATCTATCCACAACCCCCTGGAGGTTCGAATGCTCCCCTACCCCTCGAAAGAGAGACAGATTTATCCGGCTGGCTGGCTGGCGGCTTTATTGTTGCACCTTGGGTAGGGCTGGTGGCGAAGCTTCGGATCCCCCCCCCCCCAATCCTTTCCTTGGGTGTGGATAGCTGCTGGCAGTCGCCTTGTAATGGTGGCAAGATCTGGGAGGAATCGCCTGGCTCAGCCAGTTGAACTGGCATCTGGTAGCACCCGGCAACCCAAATGCTAACCATCTTTTGGAGCTGGTTTTTCTCCCTCTTGCTTGTTATGTGTGCAGGCTTCTCTCATTCTCCTCCTCTTGCAATGCTTTTCCCCCAATCACGCGCTTCATTTACTAACCCCTTTCCTCTTCTCACCCCTTCCCCCTCCTCCTCCTCCTCGTTTCTCCTCTTCTTTTTTAAAGCCTGCAACAAAAAGAAAACGAAAAAAAGAATCAGGTGGCTTATGGCGGGCTCGATCTGTGGGCCTGGCTTGTGTGTTTTCCTTTAAATCTTCCCCTCCTGCTGGCAAAATGTCCATAATAAGCATTAGTTGTGGCAGAATCTGCTGCTAAGGGTTAGGGCGAGCTGATTAAAGCTACAGCCGCCGAGCAAAAGAAAAATGAAAAACGTGGGGGGGGGGGAGAGAGAGAGAGAATAGAGTTGCAGGCTTCAGTCGCTGCTCTGACTTGTGTCTGCTTCTGTGGGCCAATGGGGGCTCTTGCCCAGAGTGTTTATTCCCTTCCTCCTAGCAACAGATGCCAACATGCCCCTGCAGCTCCTAGCATGCACTGGAAGAGGGAGTGGGAAAATGCAGCGTGTGAGGCCTGGGTTTCAGCAGTTTCCCAGGAAAGGGCTATATAGCTCAGGGGCAGTGCATCTGACTGGCATGCAGAAGGACCCAGGACCCATCCCTCGCATCCTCAGGTGAGGCTAGGAGAGACCCTGCCAGTCAATTGAGGCAGTGAGTTAGATGGAGCTGTGGCATAAGGCAGCTTCTTAGGTTCATACTTAGCTTTCGCATAGTGCTTTGTGAATGTTCAAAGCACTTGCATGAAAAATCCAGCATTGCAGGGGGTTGGGCTAGGCGTCCCTTCCAACTCTACATTTCTATGAAAACGTAGTGCTAAGGCTAACCTTGCATCAGTGCAAGCATTTGGCCTTGTGCAACAGGATGGCCCCCTTCTCTCTCTCTCTCCCCCCTGTGTGCCCCATAAATTTGCTCTGGTGGTTCCCCGTGATTTTGCAACAGTCTGGGGTGTGAAAGTCCTGTTCTGCAGGTGCAATAATTTAGTTCACTTCAGCCCTTGATTCGTAGTGTCTTGCGAATCCACCTAACAGGAAGGGACATTAGCAGATAGATCCAGCACCTTAAGACAGCAATAGCTGGATAGCCTACGAACAAGAGTACTTATTCAAAAGTGTACTTACTTCAGTCATTGAACATTGCATGGTATGCAGACGGAGGCATGGGAGGGGAGCTGCTTTGAATTAAGTGAGGCGCAAAGGGAGCAAATTTACAAGTGAAATCTTCCATGCAGGAGAACCTTCCTCCCTCTATCAGCTCAGTGGTGAGGCAGCCTTTTCCCTTGATATGTTAAATTTCCTGCACCACCTCTTACAGGGGGGATTTATAAAAAACTAGGAAGTTGGAACACAATAGGCTTGACACTTATCCCCCCCCCCCTTTCACAGCAGCCTAACACACAGAAACATCTATTTATTACCTTTTAAAATAAGCATCACCCGTCAATTGCTTTGGACATCTTGCGCGTAAAATATATATTTGCTTTTCCCTGACCCATAAGATTGGACCAGATGTCTGTCTTTCATCCCTGTTTTTATGACACTTTAGAAATTGCTTTCGTATGTTTGGATTTTTGTGCGCACTTAGAGGTTTTGAATATTCCGCAGTTTATAAGTGCTTTGAAATAAACAAATGGGGTTTATTTTAAGCCTTGAACTCTGCACCCCAAGTTGCTCAGGACAGCACACAGGGTCTCTCTTCCCCCAGTCATAGAATCTGAAGGGACCATGAGGATCATCTAGTCCAACCCTCTGCAAGGCAGGAATCTTTTGCCCAACATGGAGATTAAGAGGAGTCTCATGCTCTACCAACTGAGCCATCATTTATAAGCCAGAACATTGGAAGCTGATTTATAGTGAGTCAGAACACTGGTCCACACTGGTCCCACACTGTCACCAGCTCTCTGGGGTTTCAGACTGAGACCATTCCTACCTGGAGATGCCAGGGATTGAATCTTCAACCTTCTGGATGGAAAGCAGGTGCTCAGCCACTGAGCCACGGCACTAGGCTAAGAGCTAGTGACAACTCCAGGTCACCTAATGAGCTCCATGACTGAGTGGGGGTTTGAGCCCAGCTCCCTCCAGTCAGTCCAACAGTCTTCACCGAGAATGAGATGGGTTGGCCCTCCAGAGATCAGGCTACAGCTCCCATTACCCCTACCTGTTGGCTGTGCTGGCTGGGGCTGGTAGGACTTGCAGCCCAACAACAGCACCTGGAGATCACAGGTGCTCCATCCTTGCTCTAACCACAGGTGTGGAGATAAGGAGTGGGAAGAGTGCTGAATTCCTGTGTGTTAGTCTGCGGTTAAAGGTGTAGGATCGGGTTATAGGTCAAAACTTGAAATGCCTCTCTGTACTTTGGTTTCCCCTAGACCATCAAGTGGGCCTTCCAGGTGAGGCGCAGGTGGTAACCAGGAAGGAAGGCACTCAACTCTAATCTATCCCAGAGACATAGACTGGCTTGTTCCGTATGACCTGCTCTGCCTGTTTCCGTGTGTGGATGTTGTGCACGGAATTCTGTGAGCATTCTGTGGTTTCCTTGTCTCCTTTCTCCTTTTGTGTTCAGCTTCTTGAATGCTTTGTGCATGTAAATCCTCCTAGCACTGAAAGTTCAGCGTGACCAAGAGAAAGGCTGCTTTTAAAAAAGTCTATAAGGCAGAGTGGGGACGCGGGTGGCGCTGTGGGTTAAAGCCTCAGTGCCTAGGACTTGCCGATCATCAGGTCGGCAGTTCGAATCCCCGCGGCGGGGTGCGCTCCCGTCATTCGGTCCCAGCGCCTGCCAACCTAGCAGTTCGAAAGCACCTCCGGGTGCAAGTAGATAAATAGGGACCGCTTACCAGCGGGAAGGTAAACGGCGTTCCGTGTGTGCTGCGCTGGCTCGCCAGATGCGGCTTTGTCACGCTGGCCACGTGACCCGGAAGTGTCTCCGGACAGCGCTGGCTCCCGGCCTATAGAGTGAGATGAGCGCACAACCCTCGAGTCTGGCAAGACTGGCCCGTACGGGCAGGGGTACCTTTACCTTTATAAGGCAGAGGTTTTCAACCTTTTTGAGTCCATGGCTCCCTTGACTAACTACATTTTTTCTGTGGTACCCCTGCGGGGCTCAGGAGCCCAGTTATGTCGTTCCTTGCCTGGGGAGTCAGCAGCCCTTTGCCCCTTTTCGAACACCCTGCCTTGGGGAGTGTTCCCTCGGCCTCCTCCCTTCTCCTTGGGAGTCCTCTGGGCAGCCGCAGCTGCCGCCCCTGGTCTCTGAGCTGCTCCCGCTGCCCCAAAGAGAGGTGCCTCCTCAAATTTCCCCACAGGGGCCTGGGAAGGCACCATTCGCCTGCGGAGCTTGTAGCCAGGGCTGATGCAACAAACAGCTGTGCAAGCCTTTGGGAGGCAGAGATGCGAGGGGGCATCAGAGGAGGGAGGGAAGGAAAGAGGGACAGAGGCCCGTGTTGCCCGTGGCACCCCTGACCATCATTCAAGGCACACTGGTTGAGAACTACTGCTATAAGGTGTTCAAGACCCAAGCTCAAGGGCTTCTAAGCATGATTCCAGGCTTGATGTCTGGTGGGCTTTGGCTCATACTGAACTTCCTGGGCTTTGAGATTGTCATCGGAAGCCCTTTTTCATGTGTCACCTCTGAGGATGGTGATGAAAGAAGGGGCCATTTCTGCCCACCACTGATACTCTCCTTGGAGAGGCCCTCCTGGTGCCAACTTTGCCATGTTTCAGTGCCAGGCAAAGCCTGTTTTTGTTTTCCTCGGCAATCGGACATCACCAGTGGGTGGATCTTTTTGTTCTGTGTTTTTAATAGGCTTTTTATTCTTGCTGTAAAAAGTCTTGCTTTTCAGGACTTTTTGTTGTGGGAAGTGGTTTATAAATTCAGCAAACCTTTGTTTGTCTTCCTGGTTGGCTTTGAGTGGATATTTTCTCCATTTCCCTTTTATAATAACTCTGTGAACTACCAGTTGGGAGGCTCAGTGGTAGAACATTTGCTTTGCCCACAGAAAGTCCCAGGTTCCTTCTTGAGCATTTCCAGGTTGGGAAACTCCCTGGTCTGAAACCTTGGAGAACTGGTCTTGGTCAGCAAAGAATGGGGCTGGGGAATATTTGGATCTCCAAATGTTGCCGAACTACAACTCCAAATTTCTGCACACCTGCACCTGGGGGACCAGAGGTGGGCAAAGGGTGCATTAGGATCTGTACTGTTGGTGCATCTCTGGGTGATTTTGAAGTAGATCCGCAGGGATTTCTGACTCCCAGTTATTTAACAACGGCAATATCAAAATATCTAACCAGGAGCAGGTTTTTGTGACTGTGAGCTCGGTTCAGTTTTGGTACCCAGAACAAATTCCTGGGCTCAGGATGCTTTACAGTGGTGCCTCGCAAGACGAAATTAATTCGTTCCGCGAGTTTTGTCGTCTTGCGATTTTTTTCGTCTTGCGAAGCACGGTGTCGGGAAAGTTTTGGAAAAGCTTCAAAAATCACCAAAGTCTTTAAAAACCTCAAAAAAGGCTACCACACCGCGTTCTATGAGTTGCTCCTCGAAGTCAAGTCGCAATTGTATTAACGGTGTTAAGAAAAAGGAAACAAACTTGCAAGACGTTTCTGTTTTGCGAAGCAAGCCCATAGGGAAAATCGTCTTGCGAAGTAGCTCAAAAAACAAAAAACCCTTTCGTCTAGCGAGTTTTTTTGTCTTGCGAGGCATTCGTCTTGCGAGGTACCACTGTAATCCTAAATGCATGCTGTTAGCTCCTGACTCCTTAGTTGATAGATATTTGCGTATTAGTAAAAAGCAAAGTAGATCTTGAAATCTGCTCTCATATGCTGTGGTAAAGGAATTTGTGGTCATGCTTTTTGTGCTCCTAACACTTGACATGGTTTGTTTGCCTTTGTTGGTCCACATTTTTTCCCTGGAACTTTTTTCTCTCTTTCATCTAGGATGGTGAAAAGTTGAAGTGCCAAACACCAAAATGAGTGTGACGTCATGGTTTCTGGTGAGCAGTGCAGGCATTCGCCACCGGCTCCCTCGGGAGATGATATTTGTTGGCAGAGAAGACTGTGAGCTGATGCTCCAGGTAAGTGATTATGCCTCTGTTCTCATAATTAGCACAACTTGGGTTTCATCTCTGAAAAAGAGCAAGGACACACAACCCCCCTTCATACATTTAGAACACTTGTAGTACACACTTTTTAACAGTTGTGGAGATTTCGGGAACTTTAGTTTGCTAAGCATCCTGACTTTACTGTTGAAGTAGTGTGAGTGCTTCAAATACGGATTTTTCTTGAGACTCCAAATGCAATAGTAGAACTTAGCATGTGCCCCCAAACTGAAAATGTTATGGGTCTATGTACAGAGCGTATCTGAGTGCTCAAAATTTGGTGGTATTCGTAGTTGCTCTATTTCTATATGGACAAAGACTTTTAGCATGGTGACACCAGTGATTTGTTCCTGTTGGAATTAGCTTGGCACCTACAATCCTGGTATTTTATCACCTGCTGAAAATGTTTTTTTCTTTCTTTTCATTTCTTTGAGAGTTTTTACAGAATTGATCCAGGAGTGGTTGTTTGCTCTGTATTTTTAAAATTTTATTTAACTTTTTTATTTTGATGGTTGTTTTGTATAGCACCACAATATACCATATTTTTCGCTCTATAAGACGCACCAGACCATAAGGCACACCTAGTTTTTGGAGGAGGAAAACAAGAAAAAAAATATTCTGAATCTCAGAAGCCAGAACAGCAAGAGCGATCGCTGCGCAGTGAAAGCAGCAATCCCTCTTGCTGTTCTGGCTTCTGGGATAGCCGCATAGCCTGCATTCACTCCATAAGACGCACACACATTTCCCCTTACTTTTTAGGAGGGAAAAAGTGAGTCTTATAGAACAAAAAATACGGTATACATATATACATACATACATACATACATACATACATACATGTGTGTGTGTGTGTGAGAGAGAGACAGAGAGAGCGAGAGCGCTGGAGGTTTATAAATTTTCTTACAATATAAATAATTAAACATTATCCCCATATTTCAGCAGGGGATAAATAGTAAGACTGATTGACTAGGAATCTGCCTGAGGCGCCTTAGTAAAACTCATGAGTTAGATTAGCGAAAGGTAGATTAGGATTCATGGGTAGATCTCTGGGCAACCGGAAGTAGATCGGCAAGGATTTGTGACTTGATGGTTCTACAGTGGTAGCAAAATACACGCCCCCCCCCGGCAAGCGAAGGTTCTTCTTATGAATATTTCAGTTCTGTATTTGTTTAAATCACTGGTTCTTTATCTTTTTTCATACCCTGCCCCTGGGCTCTGTTGGAGGAAGGGTGAGATTCATAAATACAATAAATAATAAATTAGGATAAATTATGCTGAGCACCAGGAAGAACCAACCAGATCAGGCCGATGGCATATCATCCAATTCTCACGTGGCCAACCAGGTGCCTATATAAGAAGCTCAAAATAAAGGAAGCTGCGTGGAAGGCAGAGAGTGTAACCAGACATGGATTTTTGTGCAGCAGGACTGGGGCTGGGCGATAGCTGGTTTTCAGCTTCACGATATATCACCAGCTTCACGATATATCACCAGTATTTTCCCAGTGATCAAAACTGCTAGAAAGAAAACCTTGAGGGAAACCTTGTGTGAATCAGCAGTGAAAGAGTTTAGAAATTGTGATTTCTGGCGTGATGTGGTGGTTTGAGTGTTGCACTTTGAATGGGGGCAGCCAAGTTCAAATCCCCTCTCAGATGCTCAGCTTATTATGTGATGTTGGGCTGCTTGCTGTCATTCAGCCTAATCTACCCCATAGGTTTGTTAGGATAAATTCTCTGTGTGTGCTGAAGAAGGGCCTTTGATGAGCTCCTTTGGAAGACGGGACAGTATAAGAATGAATGGATTAACACCATTCAGTTGATGCAGCACTTCTTCATTCATCTTTATAACTGTTCCATTCATCCAAGCAAGCATCCCAACTTTCATGTGTAGCTTAAAAAAAAAAAAAGCATTTGTAAGTGGGTGCTCAGCATCGTTCTTCTGCACGCATTCTGTACTTAACCCTTGTTTGCTTTGATTTCATCCATGAATTTAGATAGGTCGCTGGGGGAAATATGGAGCCTGGAGAAGGTGGTAGTCTCGAAGCTTGGGTATTTAAATAAATTTTGCTGTTGGGGGAAAAAAGTTTAATCTTCCAGGAAACCTTCTGGGCCTACTTTACGGCTTGGAAATACTTAAAATATTTGTGAGGATTAAGAAGCATGTATTGCTGAATTTCAGGTTGTGATTAGAATATTTAGGGGAAAACTGAGCATGGATTTGCTCTTTTCCTGGGGGAGGGGAGTTAAGTTAGGTGCTTAGCGCCTGTTGCAGGCTGAATTCTGCCACTCTTTGTGTGCCAGAAATGCAGTGGGGTGTCTGCTTTGACTGTTGTATTTAGATTTGGAAATGCTCCCAGACTTGCAGAGATCGCACATGTCCACTCAGTGTTCCGGGCTTGTGTGCTTGCGCCAAAAGATCAAGTCATGGGTGCCAGAAGTTCTGTGGAGGGGATAGGCAGGTCTCCCTCAAATTGTCTGTAGGTGCCGTAGGCTTACCCTAAACAGGCTTACTAGGGAGTAAGCCTCATTGAAACCAATGGAACTGCACAGGACTGGAGCTGCATGTCTTGCATTTATTAGGGATCCAGTGAACAAGAGTATAATGATGCCCAAAGAGCGTATGTGTGGAAAGTTTGTATGCTGCAAGAGGAATTGAAGGTTAGGTGCATGTTAGAAGCCGCTTAACAAATGGGTTGTTTTATGTCCTGCTTCTGTTTTTGTGTTTTCGTTTTGCAAATTTGTTTTAATGGCTATTTGGATTTTGAAATGGGTGAGCTGCCTTTGCTGTTGTTCCAAAGGCAGGATAGGAATATTCTGATGCAGAAGTTAAGTATTCGGGTAAGGACTTTATACTGTGTCCTCATACTTTGTCCATATAGCTTAGTGTTGTCTGCACTGACTGGCAGCGGCTCTCCAGAGTTTCAGGCAATAATAATAATAATAATAATAATAATAAATTTTATTTATATCCCGCCCTCCCCAGCCGAAGCTGGGCTCAGGGCGGCTAACAACAAACAAAATAATCCAACATTCTAAAAACATTCATTATAAAATTAATTAGATCAAATTAATGGCAACCATCAAGCAAAATTCTGTGCAGATTGCCAGAGGAGGGGGTCAGGCTGCGCCCTGACCAAAGGCCTGGTGGAACAGCTCTGTCTTGCAGGCCCTGCGGAAGGATGTCAGGTCCTGCAGGGCCCTAGTCTCTTGTGACAGAGCGTTCCACCAGATTGGAGCCGCGGCTGAGAAAGCCCTGGCTCTCGTTGAGGCCAGCCTGACCTCTCTGTGGCCTGGGATCTTTAGGATGTTTTTATTTGCAGACCGTAAATTTCTCTGTGGGACATACCAGGAGAGGCGGTCCCGTAGGTACGAGGGTCCTAGGCCGTATAGGGCTTTAAAGGTTAAAACCAGCACCTTAAACCTGATCCTGTACTCCACCGGGAGCCAGTGCAGCTGGTATAGCACCGGATGGAATGTGATCTCGCAGCGAAGACCCCATAAGGAGTCTCGCCGCGGCATTCTGCACCCGCTGGAGTTTCTGGGTCAGTCTCAAGGGCAGCCCCACGTAGAATATTTCCCAGCCCTACCTGGCGAAATTGAACCTGGCACCTTTTGCATAGAATGCTAAGCAGAAGCTCTTCTCCCAGAGATTAAAGATCAAAAGATTCCAAAGATTAAAATTACCCAAATGCACTAGGATGCTTTGGTGCCACCTGTGCTGCAGCTGACAGGTATGGGAGCATCCCAGGATCATTGGTTAGGGCATCAGACTGGAAGACCGGGGTTCAAATCCCCCACTTGGCCATTGTGCTTGCTGAGTGACCTCGGGGCAGTCACTGCCTCTCAGCCGAACCAACCTGTCAGGGTTGTTGTGGAGGATTAAATGAGGAAGTGGAAGGGGAACCATGTGAACCACCTGGAACTCCTTGGAGTAAAAGGTGGGATAGAAATGACATGACATGGCATGAAATGAATAAATTAATAAAATTGCCCCCAAAGCCCTTATCCTATCCGTGAGCCATGATTGACGGCACAAAGGGGGAAAAGGAGCGATATAAGTTGGACTTTTTTCAACCTGTTGACTGATAGAGAAATATGTCTGCATATATGCATATTTTTTTGAGCACAAGGGAACTGTGTGGACCCCCCCCCCCCACTTTTCATCCAGAAAAACGATCTGTGCCATTGTACGTAAAAAAAACCATTTATTTCAAATTATTACCTATCATTCTCGCTCTAAAGTCTCAAGGCAGGTTGCAGCAGTTGGAGACGCTACATGCACCTCCTCGCTTTGCTTCCTTGTTTATGTTTGGAATAGCACATACCATGCAATTCATTGCCCAATGAAATATAGATAACTTACCCTTTAAGCAGTAGATTTGGAGGGGATGCAATTCATCAAATGCCACATCCATTCCTAAACGACTGCAGCGCCTTTTTGAGAAGCGCCAGCTGGCTTGAAATGATAGCTTTGTATTCGGTTTTATATATTTTGTCAAGTGTTAGTGCTCTTACAGCACAGTCCTAACCAGGCCTACTCAGAAGTAAGTCCCCCGTTGAAGGACCGTGGAGCATGTGAAAGACATCTCCCTGTGACCTTTGAGAACCAGGACGCAATACTGAGGGAGCCTGGCCTGGAGGGGCAAATAGTATTTCCTGGAGTAAGGCAACTCCTTCCGTTTCTATGAATTGCACAAGAAACCAAGGCTACGAGTCAGTGTAAAATCATATTCATTCATGTCGGCACATTCCCCTCAGCTTCTCTGGGAAACATTGTAGGGTTTTGACACCCACTGCCCATAATGCACACTTTCTGCCTTCAAGGTGTAGTTTTTTCAGCTGGTAGTAGCTTCCTTTTGATGGTGAAGATAACTCACGACAATTACAGAAGGGTGTAAAATGTGTGTAGAGAAAGAGGACAGAGGGACGTTTCTCTCCCTCTCTCGTAATTCTACAGCTCGCAGCCGTCCGGTGAAACTGAATGGTGGGAGGTTCAGAACAAAAAACAATACAAGCAACACGAAGACCAGTATACTAGATAGCACTGCAATTCTTATTGCATGATATGCATGATTTAGTACAACCAAAACACAATGTGTACACTTGTAAATTCTCTAATATATTTGAAAAAAATGAACACACGCCTGTCCATCTTTGAAAGTCCGTAGAAGTATAATAAGTCTATGGTTGAAACAAAATAATAGATGCTGTCCTGTGGGCTAAGTGGTAAAACTTTTTAAAGGCGTTCATGGTGCTGAAGTGAATAACAACGTAGGACAGTGATCCCGGATAATCTGACTGTTTCGCTGGAATCTTCTTCAGCACAACCCATAGATTAGAAAAATGCACATGGAGCAGTGGTCATGAGGATATTTACAAGTTTACACATTGTGTTTTTCATAGAATCATAGAGTTGTAAGAGACCACAAGGGCCATCGAGTCCAACCCCCTGCCAAGCAGGAACTAAATTGTTGTACTAAATTTGTTGTACTAAATCATGTATATCATGCAATAAGAATTGCAGTGGTATCTAGTATACTGGTCTTCGTGTTGCTTGTATTGTTTGTTGTGGCGATGGTTCAGGACAGGTGAGGAACGGCTTCTTCACACAGCGCATAGTTAAACTGTGGAGTTTGCTACCACCATAGGCACCAACTTGAACAAAATAGGTTACCCCTTTCCTGCAGGGCTGGTAGCTCTTCACCCCTTTTCGAACACCCTCCCTTGGGAGTCCTCTGGGCAGCAGCAGCAGCTGTTGCCCCTGGTCTCTGAGCTGTACCCTCCTTCCCCCAAAGAGAGGTGCCTCCACTTACTGCCCCACAGGGGCCTGGGAAGCACCCCCCAGCCAGCCCCACAGGCACCATTCGCCTGGGGAACTTGTAGCCAGGGCTGCTGCAACAAACAGCTGTGCAAGCCTTTGGGCGGCAGAGATGCGAGAGGGCATCAGAGGAGGGAGGGAAGGAAAGAGGGACAGAGGCTAGTGTTGCCCGCAGTGCCCCTGACCATCATTCAAGGCACCCCAGGGTGGCACAGCACACTGGTCAAAAACCACTGTCAATGTGGTTGACAACACATTAAAACATCAAATAGAACAGTCCAGAATAAAACAAATTCAAACTTCAAGGGAAATAATTCAGATCCTCCTCTAGGTGACATTTTGCTTTCCCCAGTTGCCAGCCTGGCATCCAGAGATCTCCACTTGGTCGCAATTGGACCTGTCCCTGCCGCAAAAATGCGCCTGGCACCTAGCTAATTTCTAACGCTGGCCAAATAGGGGCCTGGAGGGACACAGTTGGCAGCTAAACCTGTGCTTCCCATGCCACTGTAGCAGCATGCTGGATGAGACAGATAGCTAGGCTAGAGGGCAGACAGTGTCCCATAATGTTTATGGAAAGGAGCTCTCCATCACTTAACAACTTCTGTTCCTTTGGCTATCTCCACTGTCGGAGGCATTGTGGCTCCGAATACCAGTTTCTGGGAATCGCAAGTGGGGAGAGTGCGGTTGTGTTAATGTCTACCTTGCAGGCTTTTCACAGGCACCTGCTTGGCTGTTGTGAGAACAGGATCCTGGCAGACCAGATGGGCCATTGGCCTGATCCAGCAGGGCTCTTGTGTTCCTGTATTCAGGGTTTTTGCATTCCTAACAAACCTTCCTTGCATCCATTTCCCCCCATCCTGTCAGTTTGCTGAGTGGTGCTGGGGCTGGGGCCTTGGTTCTGCTTCTGGGTTGCGGCAGAGAAATAGAAACACTTGCTCAGCATCTGCGAAGCTTTAATTGCACATTCAAGGAGTGCCCTATTAGAAGAAAACATGCATAGCGGCTTTGACTAACTTCCTGTTTCTGTCCATTTATTTAGAAAAGGGTCGGCAGGGTGCAGATTGTGTCAATGTTTACCCTGCGCAAATTAGAAGCTGCAAGTTCTCATGTTAGGAATTTATACAAAGTCCTTTGTGTGCACCGGGGGCTGCTATGTGCTGTGAAGTGTGAAGTCCCCCTAAACACACAATTAAGTAACATGGCTCTGCTTTTTGACATTTGTTTTGTTTTGATGTAGCCTTGTTCTTAGACAGATGCAGATGAGGTGTTAAAACTCTGGACTAGGGATGTTGTCAATGGGAGCAGAAATTACCTGTGCTCTCTTATTTGCCCTTTGTCTGGAATGGATTTAGCGAATACGATTGGCATTTGCTGCTGTTGTTTTCCAGTCTGAAAATGATATGCAATTGATGATGTACCCCCTTCCGCTAGGGGTAAACCAATGGAGGAAAAAATTGAAAAATATTATAATCTTAGAATATCTAACTGTCAAGATACATAAAATGAAAGGGTTTAAGGTCAGTGAGAAGGAGGAGGATTGGTTTGAGAAGATATTGAATTATTTGGGTAGGTTTGAACAATTTGGGGCAATTAAAATGTTAAAAGTTAAAATAAACCTTGTGGAGGGAGGAGTGTTAAAGGTATATAGAATTGTACATATGGTTGATTTGAATACGTTATTATTGATTATGTATACCCAGTGTATCAGACACCTGGGGGGGGGGTTTCACTGTTTGTGTTTTGGTTGTTGGTAAAAAAATAAAATTAAATATTATTAAAACAAAACTCTGCCTTCCTTCCCCCAGTCTCGCAGTGTGGATAAGCAACATGCCGTCATCAACTACGACAAGGAGAAAGATGAGCACTGGGTGAAGGATTTGGGAAGCTTAAATGGGGTAAGTAAGGAAGTCGGCTGCTGGATGGCATGGCTTCATTCCTGCGGGTGTTTGGCTGTGCGTTTCCATTTTGCTTTGCTGGGAGCGCTTCAGAGACCTATGTGCTGAAGGCTATTGAAGCATCTCAGCGCGAAGTCCGTAGGGTTGGTGCTAATCATGGAAGGATAGTGAGCCTATTTTGGTGGAACCCCTGGGTATAATGGATAGGCCAGCCCCAGCTATACCTCCATAGATGCTTCATAGTGTTTGGCTAGATCTGCCAGACGTTCAGTTTTTCTCCTCTTCCTCCTCCTGTTATGGAAGGTCCGCAAAGGCCTGAAAGACATTTTGACTGCTAGCAATGCTGGTTGTTCTGCTTTCTCGTGGATTGAAACAAGACTTCCGAGTTGCGTCTTCTGCTGTAGAACTTAAGAAGAGCTTGCTGGATCAGGTCGGAGGACCATCTGCATGCAGGCTTCTTATAGGCATCTAGTTGACCACAGTGAAAACAGGATTCTGCCCTTCAACTGATCCAGCAGAGCTCTTCTTCTTATGTTCCCAATTGATGTATTTCAGATATTTCTGTTGTCCAAATTAAATTCTATCTATCTGTATTACGACTCGCCTTGTATTAAGGCATTTGGCCTTACCGGCAGCTTCATTTGTAATTTTAGTAGAAAGTTCTGGGTTGCATTCAATGTGCTGGCTGGTGAATGTTCTGCTGGCACAAGGATTTCTCCTTATGCGATGCGGTTCCCTCCCTCTGTTCCCCTTGTATGCAGCCTAAATATGTCCTAGCTTTACTCACAACCCTCTGGAGCACATGCCATTGCACAAGCCCTAATAGTAACAAAATAGGTTTGTTGAATACTGCTTATTCCTCTCTATGTGCATAGTTTTCTATGGAGCATCTGCGCCTGCTGGTAAGCAATAAAACAGGCATAGGCAAACTCCGGCCCTCCAGATGTTTGGGACTACAATTCCCATCATCCTTAGCTAACAGGACCAGTGGTCAGGGATGATGGGAATTGTAGTCCCAAACATCTGGAGGGCTGGAGTTTGCCTGCAATAAAATAAACAGCAGCATTTTTTTTAAAAAATGGGCTGTTAGAAAGGGAGTAATTCCATCAGAAAACATTTGGAAGTTTTTATCGCTAAAGAAATAAGACCTGACCTCTGAAATAAAAGAAGACAACTTTTCAGAGAAACCATGGATAAATCAGAGGTATTGTTGGTGGTAAAGTATATAAACTTTTGAAAACTAAATAAACACTTTAAAAAAAAAGCTTTTCGGAGAAATGAGCTTTGAAAATTTTTCAATGCCATGAAATGAAAGAACTGAGGGCTGAGCTTCTTGCTAAGAAGGAATGTGACTTTACAGATCCTGTAAGGAAGAGGAACTCAGTCAATGTGACTGTGTACTGGAAATACAAGTATTTCATATAGAGAGATACATGCAGAACCACTGACTCATGCATGACTATCTCCCAGGTTGACAATCTCCCAGCTACTCTGCCCCTGTATTCTACCGCATGTACAGATCTGGACATCAACGCCATCTCCCATAATCGGTTGGGGTCCAACAACATCTGGAAGGCTAGAAGTTCCCCATCCCTGGGGTAGACCTTGTTGCTGGGGCTAGATGAATATGGCAGCTCTTTAACTTAGGTCTCCAGCTTTTTTTTGGACTACAACTCCCATCATCCTTAGCTGGCAGGACCTGCGGTCAGGAATGATGGGAGTTGTAGTCCAATAACAGCTGGAGCCCCGAGTTTGGGAAACCCTGGCCCTAACACTTCTAAAGCAGAAATCCACTTCCGAAGCATTGTTTCAAATTGAGATTGGGAGCACAACCGTGGTTATAGCAAAACCACGCTGCACCATGGTTAGCTTCAAGAATGAAAGGGGATGGGGTAGAAAGTAGAGAGGAAGGAAGCAGGACAGAGTGTTTGAGGCCATGAGGTCTCCTAGCTGTAGGTAAGGAATCCACCCAGCAGAGTTATTGATGTCTGCAACAGGCCTTAAAGGTAAAGGTAAAGGTACCCCTGCCCGTACGGGCCAGTCTTGCCAGACTCTGGGGTTGTGCGCCCATCTCACTTAAGAGGCCGGGGGCCAGCGCTGTCCGGAGACACTTCCGGGTCACGTGGCCAGCGTGACAAAGCTGCATCTGGCGAGCCAGCGCAGCACACGGAAATGCCGTTTACCTTCCCGCTAGTAAGTGGTCCCTATTTATCTACTTGCACCCGGGGGTGCTTTCGAACTGCTAGGTTGGCAGGCGCTGGGACTGAACAACGGGAGCGCACCCCGCCACGGGGATTCGAACCGCCGACCTTTCGATCGGCAAGCCCTAGGCACTGAGGCTTTTACCCACAGCGCCACCCGCGCTGTGGCCTTAGCTTGCATAAAAGATGTACCTTGCACAAGGCGCATAGTGAAATGATTTTAAATGGTTTCAGATATGTCCTGGTGCACAGAGCTCTCTCTTTTGGCTCCCCAAACCCCCTTCTTCACCTTGTGTGAGCCCCACTGTTTTACATCTGTGCTGTCGCTGTGGCAACATACGGCGGCCCATAATTTCCTGTCTCTGTTTGCTGTGCGAGTCCCATCTGCAAAAGATTGCCTGTGCTCTGGATTTCCAAATCCAAGTGCAGCTGTACGTGGCTTGGCTTTTCCAGCGTGCCAGCACATGTTTGCAATGTATTTGCATTTTAAGGGTGGAGAGAAGGCATTTGTTTCTTTGCACATGCACACCCTTGAATGAGCAGAGCGGCTTTGTAGTTTAGGCTCAGGGCAGGGGCTCGGAAGCTGTCTTTGCAGCAGACCTCCAGTAGTGCCTTGGGTGAAAAATCTCAGGGGTCAAATGTGGCTGCCTAGGCTTCTCTTTCTGGCCCTTGGGATGGGAAACAAAACCAGAGCAACTCAGACCTGTCTCTGTGGCCTCTTTGCACCCCCAACTAATCCAGCAGCCACAAGCTGCCGCTGCGTGAAAATGGCAAGGGAAAGAAATCTGAATTCCGCAAGCAGAGGAGGAGGATCTTATCCAGCCCAAGGAACTGCCCAGCTTCCTCTGTGCTTGTCCTTCAAAATTTCAGGCCATGACTTTCTCTCTACAAGACATTTGCACAACGGAGCTTAGGTACCCCTGGGAATTTGGCACCCCGGGCGGTTGCCAGGCTTGCTCCAATTAGCTGGCCTTGGCTAGTGGCAGATCCATTTGGCTGGCCTAATTGGAAAGGGCTAGGACACAAGGTTAAACCACAGAGCCTAGGACTTGCTGATCAGAAGGTCGGCAGTTCGAATCCCCGCGACGGGGTGAGCTCCCGTTGCTCGGTCCCAGCTCCTGCCCACCTAGCAGTTCGAAAGCACATCAAAGTGCAAGTAGATAAATAGGTACCGCTCTGGCGGGAAGGTAAACGGCGTTTCCGTGTGCTGCTCTGGTTCGCCAGAAGCGGCTTAGCCATGCTGGCCACATGACCTGTACGCTGTACGCCGGCTCCCTCGGCCAGTAAAGCAAGATAAGCACCACAACCCCAGAGTCGATCATGACTGGACCTAATGGTCAGGGATCCCTTTACCTTTGCCTTTATGTCAAAGATACCAAACAGAGCTGCATGTCTGGTCCCCAGAATGCAGTCTGTGTGATTTCATTCTGGTCCACACAGCGGGCAGGGACCACGGTTAGACCAGTGCCAATGGCTGAATTTGCACAGTGAGCTTTCCACCTTGAATACCCTGCAGTGGAACGCAGCCTGTTTCACCAAGAGACAGCTTTCCTCCCTGCAGGTTGACCTTCCCTTCCCTAAACTCCCCTAGCAGATGGCTTGAGGGCATCTCATTCAATGGGGCTACAGTTGCAAGGGGACCCTCCTCTTTTAATGGCAGGGAAGTCATTGCCCATCCTGGCATCCTTGGCTCCTAGATCTCAAGATGCTTGCAGTGCTGCTTGCATTGTTGTACTCTTGTCATTTTAGGAACATGGCAACCTGCCTTATACACCTAGCTCAGTGTGACACTTCAATCGCTACCTGGAGATGGCTGGGATTGAACCTAAAGCGATCTGTATGCAGTGCAGATAGAATCATAGAATTGTAGGATCATCTAGTGCAACCCCATGCAAAGCAGCTTTGAACCCCTGACCGTGAGGCTTGAACCCCTGACCCTGAGATTAAAGAGTCTCATGCTCTACCGACTGAGCTATGCTCTATTACAGGTATACAGGACCTTTAAAGCCCTAAACGGCCTTGGTCCTGTATATCTGAAGGAGCGTCTCCACCCCCATTGTTCAGCCCAGACACTGAGGTCCAGTGCCGAGGGCCTTCTGGCGGTTCCCTCATTGCGAGAAGTGAGGTTACAGGGAACCAGGCAGAGGGCCTTCTCGGTAGTGGCACCCGCCCTGTGGAATGCCCTCTCATCAGATGTGAAGGAAATAAGCAGCTATCCTATCTTTAAAAGACATCTGAAGGCAGCCCTGTTTAGGGAAGTTTTTAATATTTAATGCTGTACTGTTTTTAACATTTGATTGGGAGCCGCCCAGAGTGGCTGGGGAAACTCAGCCAGATGGGCGGGGTAAAAATAATAAATTATAATTATTATTATTATTATTATTATTATTATTATTATTATTATTATTATTTATTAATTACAGATCTTATGGCCTTTCCCCATTTTCCTGTGCTGCCCACCGTTGGGCTTAGAACGAACATAGCTCTTCGCAGCTGAACTGACTGTGTTAGCTGCTTTGTCGTTGTTATCTTCGTGGGGCCTCAAATAGGTTTTATTTCAAAAGCCCAAGATCTTGACTTATGAAAGCTCACCAGGCCGACGTCTGAGAACACTCTGCTCTAAAGTTGAGAGCAAACACATTTACTAGACGGCGGCTGCTCTCTAGCATCGCCCGCTTATCAAATTTCAGAGTCTCTTCCTTGCTGTGATGCCAAACCACTTTGAGATTCCGTGGGCTGCCTGCAGATGTGTAGAATTCGTACTCTGCTTGGGTGAATAGTCCGAAAGCACATGGATTGTTCAATAAATACGGCAAAAACCAATTGCATCTCTCTGAATCTCTCTCAAGGCGGATAAAGTATGTGTGTGTCATTGCAGCAATCGCAGTAAAGGGTGTCTGTTTCATCGCCTGGGCAGGGTTAGTCAGTCTGGTGTTTGGTTAGCCAGGTATTGTTCAGTTCCAGCCAGCACAGCCAGTGGTCAGGGATGATGGGATTTGTAGTCCATAATATCTGAAGGATGCCTCGTTGGCCGCCAATTAATTTCCAGGCCCAATCCAAAGGGCTGCTGTTGACCTATAAAGTCTTAAATGGCTCAGAATGGCAATACCCCAAGGATCGCCTCTCCGCAATTGAACTGACCCAAACCCTGCAATCATCATCTGAGGCCTTTCTTCATGTGCCGCCTCCATGAGAGGTCTGGAGGATGGCAACATGAGAAAGGGCTTTTTCTGCAGTGGCCCCCCGTTTGTGGAATGATCTCCCCAAAGAGGCTCGCCTGGCACCTTCATTGCATATATTTAGATGCTAGGTGAAAACGTTTGTCTGCCCCCACGCATTCAACTCATTAGCATTCTATGGATTTTTAAATACCGTATTGGCCCGGATATAAGCCGCACCTGAATATAAGACGTTCCCTTAAAATTCCGCAGGCACTGACACCCATTTCGTTTTACCGTGGGTCTGTTTCAGCAGTGATATCGTAAAAGCCAATTTTTGTAAGGTCACGAATTTAAGCCACACTTTAACTTTTCACAGTTGGAATTTGCGGGGGGGGGGGGGAGTGAGGCTTATATTCAGGCCCACAAATGGTATGTTTGTGGGAGGGAGGTTATTGGTTTGTTACTGGTTTTGTTTTATGTATTTTGTATTCTCATTTTGTATTTTTCTGTTGTGAACCGCCCTGTGGTGAAGGGTGGTATACAAATTTTAACAACAACAACAATAACAACAACAGTCTTTTAAATGACGTTTTGCCCTTCTTCTCCACAGACTTTTGTGAATGATGTGCGGATTCCAGACCAGAAGTACATCACGCTAAGACTGAACGATGTGATCCGTTTCGGCTATGATATCCTTTTTGGGCAGGATTTTGTGGGACCCTTAGCAACGTCCTTCCTTCCCACTGTGAGCCAATCCTGACTTCATGGAGCACTGTCTACTCCTGAAAGTCCACCTGAATAATAATAATAATAATAATAATAATAATACCTTTATTGTCAATGTACAACCTATGTACAATTAAATTAATGCATTCCTTAATGAAATTTACGGTTATTGCACTCTCTTGCAGCCTCATTTTGGAGAGGCAGTGTGGTATAGTGGTTAAAATGTTGGACTAGGACTGAGAAGACCCAGGTTCAGACTTTCCATTCATCTGTGAAATTCAAGGGGTAACCTTGAGGCCTATTGCTAGCACTCAGTCTAACCTACCGTACTTTTCCGTGTATAAGACGCTATTATAAGACTCTATTTTTGGGGACCCAAACTTTAGAAAATGGGGCAGATGGCACAGAGTTGTTGAACTCCCCCCCCGCCTCTCATCTGTCCCCTCGCCGACAGAAGCTGCCAATCACCTGCTCAATTACCCACAGCATCAGCCAATCAACACCCCCCATTGACTCAGCAACCAATACCACTCTCAATAACCGTTGACATCCATGGCAGCAACCAATCAAATGTCCACCCTATGCAATATCCATGTATAAGACAACACAAACTTCTTAGCATAATTTTTAAAGAAAAAAACCTAGTCTTATACACGGAAAAGTATGGTACTTCACAGGGTTGCTGTGAGCAACTTGCTCATTTATTTATTTGCGGCATTTATAACCTGCATATTTATTTGCAGAATTTATAACTCGGTTTATTTATTATTTTGCGGCATTTGTAGCCAGTAAGTAGTAGTTTGCAAACGTCTGTCCTAAGACGGTCCCTGCCCTCAGCCTCACGATCTAAAACATCGTTTCTCAACCTGTGGGTCCCCAGATGATGTTGGACTACAACTCCCATCATCCCTAGCTAAGCATGGTCAGAGCTCAGGAATGATGGGAGTTGTAGTCGAACAACATCTGGGGACCCACAGGTTGAGAACCGCTGATCTAAAAGGACACAACACACAAGGAAAAGGAAATGGGAGGGACGAGGGGACACTAAGGCAGTTTGAATCCTCTTGGTGGGGTGTGTGTGTGTGTGACTTGAGGGAGTTATCCTGTCCCATCGCCAATGCCTGTGGCAGTTTGTATTTGGACAGTGAGTTAATGTAGGTCAGTCTGAGGATATGAAATGCAGGATATGAAAGCAAAGTTCTTTCCCCGAGACTCTCGTGGAAGAGCATGCTTTACATTTCACCCTCCATCTCTTGGAGGTTTTTGGACATTTGGCACATGAAAAAATGTTTGCATCCTGGCCTTGAGCAAAGCCAAACAGTGGATTTTGTTGGCTTCAGTGGGGAATTCCCTCTGGATCCCCCTAAATTGGCAACAACAGCACTCTTGCTTTCCATCCCTGCCTCCCAAACCGGGATCGGTTGAAAAAAACTTTCACTTGGCATCAGCTCCAGAGGGAAAGAATGCAATTGCTTAACTCTTTTGGAAACATCTGTGAGATGGAGCTGCAGAAGCTTTTGAGGCTAGGCTTTTAACCTCTTCATCAGAGCATCGTCTCCCAGTTGTCTGGTATCTTCAGCCAGTTGCCAGTGTTGCGATCGCTTTCTGTGTGCGCTCTAGGTCCCCCCAGGCCAGGATTTTTAATAACAATTGGCAGGTGGACGGACCATTTCCTCTGTGATAGAACACTTGATTTGCCTGAAGAAGGTTCCAGGTTAAATCCTGCACACCTGAGGTTAGCAGGTGCCAGGAGAAATCTCTTGCCTGACATCCAGGACAGCTGCTGTCAACCGGACTAGACCAGCCTTGTAAATAAGTCCCCAGAGGTTACTAGCCTGCAGCAATTACTACTAGTGCACTACGCCCCATGTTAGAAATTAGCCGGGTGTGTTTTGCGACCATGTGGACCTCTATGGATGCCAGGTTGGTAACTGGGGAAAGCAGAACGTTACTTGGAAGAGTAGGATCTGAAATATTTTCCTTGAAGCTTGAATTGGTTTAATTCTGGATCGTTTGATGTTTTAATGTACTGCAACCCGCTTTGAGATTTGTTCTTTAAAATATAAAGTGGTATAGACATGAAAGTAATAATAACAATAACAATTCCCATTGTGAAAAAGCACCTGGATATTCCATGGTGGCAACCGCAATTCAGGTTTAAGGTGCCATTTGGCGATTAGATTCTATATTTGAGTTTTTAACTCTAGCTGGGACTGGAGCAAGTTAGTAGGAGAGGGATGGAGAGAGCTAGGAAGGGCATGGCCGAGAGGACCTTTCGCCTCTGGCACATGCTAGGTTTCCGTGCTTGGCACAGTCCCCTCATTTTTCTGCCTCCAGCTCTTCATTGCCTGCTTGCGATACTCTTCTTCTTCTTTAGTGATCACTCGTAGCCGAGTAAGATTGTCTTCCATAAACATGGTTTTAAAAGTGGGTCCGTAAGTGACTGTGGAGGCCAATTCTGGATCCACATGTCCTTCCACAGTGGGGACATAGGCTTCCGGGAGGGAGTTGATCACAGTGAAGTTTTGCCAAGCATGACTTCCTCTTAGCACGTTTCTCCCTTTCGTCCTGAGTTTGAGCGTCTTCAAAGTCCATTTGGTAAAGGCTGTTCTCCAACTGGAGCACTCGCAGGCCAGTGTTTCCCAGTTGTCGGTGTTTATACTACTTTTTTTTTATAGATTTGCCTTTTGAGAGTCTTTGAACCTCTTTTGTTGACCACCAGCATTACGCTTACCATTTTAAAGTTGGGAATAGAATACAGTGGTACCTCGGGTTACAAACTTAATCCATTCCGGAAGTCTGTTCTTAAACCAAAGCTGTTCTTAAACTGAGACGTGCTTTCCCTAATATGGCCTCCTGCTGCCGGTGCCCTTCCACCATTTGGATTCCGTTCTTAGAGCGAGGTAAAGTTTGCAAACTGGGACACTACTTCCGGTTTTGTGGAGTTCGTAAACCGAATAGTTCGTAAATAGGGCTGTTCTTAAACCGAGGTACCACTGTAGTTGCTTTGGAAGATGATAATCAGGCATCCGCACAACATGACCAGTCCAACGATACTAAGTGTTTTATGGCTACCAGGCTTAAATGCAAGGCTGGAATGGATTGCACTGGTCTAGACAAGCAAATAGCCTGACCTAGTTTAAGGCCATGGGACGCGGGTGGCGCTGTGGGTAAAACCCCTGATGCCGATCGTCAGGTCGGCGGTTCGAATCCCCGCGGCGGGGTGCGCTCCCGCTGCTCGGTCCCAGCGCCTGCCAACCTAGCAGTTCGAAAGCACCCCCGGGTGCAAGTAGATAAATAGGGACCATTACTAGCGGGAAGGTAAACGGCGTTTCCGTGTGCTGCACTGGCTCGCCACATGCAGCTTGTCACGCTGGTCACGTGACCCGGAAGTGTCTTCGGGCAGCGCTGGCCCCCGGCCTCTTGAGTGAGATGGGCGCACAACCCTAGAGTCGGACACGACTGGCCCGTACGGGCAGGGGTACCTTTACCTTTAGTTTAAGGCCACGTCTGCTTCATGCATTTAAAGCGCTCATATACCACTTCAAACATCCGTGGTTTCCCCGCACAGAACCCTGGGAGCTGTAGTTTGCTAAGGGTGCTGGGAGTTGCTAGGAGAACCCTATTCCCTGTGCAGTACCACAATTCCCAGAATCCTTCAACAACCCATCCTCCTTCCTTTGGAACTCTGGGAATTGTAACTGTGGGGTGGGTGGGGAGAAAAATAAAGGATTAGGCCACGAAGATGATTTGGTGTACGGGAGTTCATGACGTCTGAGATTCTTTTGGTCCATACCCTTTTCCTTTTTTGATTTGTTTGCCATGTTGTGGGTTTGAGGGACGTATGACCACAGGAGGAAAATCATTTGGTCTGTATTGATATAAATATATGAAATATAATGGGGCGCGGGTGGCGCTGTGGGTAAAAGCCTCAGCGCCTAGGGCTTGCCGATCGAAAGGTCGGCGGTTCGAATCCCCGCGGCAGGGTGCGCTCCCGTTGCTCGGTCCCAGCGCCTGCCAACCTAGCAGTTCGAAGCACCCCCGGGTGCAAGTAGATAAATAGGGACCGTTTACTGGCGGGAAGGTAAACGGCGTTTCCGTGTGCTGCGCTGGCTCGCCAGATGCAGCTTGTCACGCTGGCCACGTGACCCGGAAGTGTCTGCGGACAGCGCTGGCCCCTGGCCTCTTAAGTGAGATGGGCGCACAACCCTAGAGTCTGTCAAGACTGGCCCGTACGGGCAGGGGTACCTTTATCTTTAATTTATACGAAATATAAATATATGAATTTATTTTATTATAAATTTAATAAAATAGTAAAATAATAATATTATGCTGGTACCGAGAGTAAATGGGATGTGTGTGCTAAACTTTGCTTATCCTGCGATATGTAAGATGAATGGTGGTGTTGGAGAACAGCTCTCTGGTATGACATGTGCCTCCAGCCTATTCCCAAACACCCCTAATTTATATCGACCTCCTTTCATTAAACAGCCTTGATGCTAAAATCAGGTCAATGGGGAAAAAATTCCTGATTAGCAAGACATTGATTTTTAAGAAGGTTCCTGAATTACCCCATGATCCATACCCACTTCTGGCTTTTAAATTTTTTCTTAAATTCGTCTACATTTCAACACTGCTTTTTCTGTCGAGTGCAAAAACAGGCATTATTCCGCTTTAACGTGCTTTGTGGACAAGCAAGGTTCTTTCTCCCAAATAGTGTGGCGGGGCTGGCATTTCAGTTCATCTTGGCAGCAGACACAGGGCTCTCTGCAGGCCTTGGCGTCTGTTCGGATCCTTGTGGTGTGTTTGTGTCGGAGGGAGAGAGACAGAGAAAGGACAGCGGTGGTTGCAGGGCTGGGGAGAACCTTTTGCTGAAATGGAATCTTTTGCAGATGAAATTGCATGCCTAATTCCTGCAACCTGGTGCAATTTACTCCGTCCCCTCCCTACCATCTGACGGGCATTTTCCAAAAAAGCATTCAGCCTGTCCCCTTCTTGTTCAGCTCTTTATAGCTTGCACCATCTTTCACATTGCCTGAGTCAGCAGTGTTCTCATGCAGAAGGCGACGCATCTGCCGGCCGCGACAAAAACTGGCCGCTTTCCCCAACTGTGCCCTTGTCCTTGGTCTGTTCCCCTCTCTCTAAAAGCAACATGCACAATCCTTTCTTGCGGTTCCAAACATTCCCAAACAACCTCCCACCCTCCTCTGTCGGTGAAGTGCAAGCCAGCTCTTCTGTGCAGCTGTAATGTGAGCTGTGTCAACGTTGCCCGTTTAAAACGGTTTGTTGTGCTTTTGACGGGGCAATCTTTTGTGCTGCGTCTGTACTTATTGCTCCGGAGGCAGAGCCTGGTGTCTGGGTGTGGCAGACACATTTTTGCACAGTGCTGCTTTATTTGTGTGCCTGCCTTGCCTTCCCATTGCTCTCCATCCCAGGTGTTCCACCGTCTACCTGCACACAAAGCTCCCAGGATACAGTCCTATGTTCCACTTTAAGCTGGAGCCTGTCTGGACAATGGGCACCAAATTCATGGTGGAGCTCTGAACTTTCATTTTAGCCTGCTCTTGATTGTGACAAACAGGGAAACCTTTTCTTTCTTCCAAATAGATAGATAGATAGATAAATAAATACAGATGCTTATAGCATCTCCGCTTTCAGTTCATAGAGCCCTTTCTACAGATCAGTTACATTCAATGGGACTACAGTGGTACCTCAGTTCTCAAACGCCTTGGTACGCAAATGCCTTGGTTCTCAAACGCCAAAAACCCAGAAATAAGTGTTCCAGTTTCCGAACATTTTTTGGAAGCCGAAAGTCCAATGCAGCTGTCAGCTATTGTTTTTGGAGCGCCTGCACCAATCAGAAGCTGCGCCTTGGTTTTCAAACATTTCGGAAGTCAAACAGACTTCTGGAACGGATTAAGTTTGGTGCTTTTGTTTTTGCTATTTATTTTTCATTTTTGAGGCTTTTCCGGTTAATTTGTTTTTGTGACTGTGTGGAACTCAGTTCAGCTACTGATTGTGTGACTGCGGAAATGGATAAAAGCCTCCCATCCAAACAATGGCTATCATCAGTGCAGGTAAGATTTTTTTTTTTAATCATCTACAATACTGTCTTATTTATTTTATAGTACAGTAGTACATTGATTATTGCTTTCATTTTATGGTTCAATGGTCTGGTTAGATAGTAAAATCCATGTTAAATTGCTGTTTTAAGGGTTGTTTATAAAAGTCTGGAATGGATTAATCCGTTTCGCATTACTTTCTATGGGAAGATGCGCCTTGGTTTTGGAACGCTTTGGTTTTGGAATGGACTTCCGGAATGGATTAACTTTGAGAACCAAGGTACCACTGTAATGTTACAGACAGTATGAGGCTGGAGGAGGAGAGAGAAAGGGGGCAGATAGCAAACTCTGGTATTTTTACATGGCGAGGTTTTGGTGTCAGCGTCACATGGGTAGGATCTGTATCTATTACTTTATTAGTTTTTGTTGGCGATGAGAGAGATTGAGGGGCCCAGGACATGGTTGGAAAGCCTTTTTGTCACCTGAGCAAACCTGGACCACCCGCAGCTGGGTTTCTCAAACATCCCCCTCTCTGCTCTTAAGGGTGCTGCCTGTCACCTGCACGGAGTGGAACAGGCTCAGCCAAGGATTCCTCTGGCAGCGAATCTGCCCTACCCATGTGATTCTGGAAGCTGGACAGCTCAGCGCCCGTGTGCCACAGTGTCTGGTAACATGGCGGTCAAGGGGGCGGAAGGGGATGTGCGCTTTCTAGCTGCCTCTGCTGAGCAGTGGCCAAACAGGGACTTATGGCCTGTGAAGCAGCATTTGAAACTCCCATTGTTCTAGGCCAGGCATCCCCAAACTCGGCCCTCCAGCAGTTTTGGGACTACAACTCCCATCATGTCTAGCTAACAGGAAAAGTGGTCAGGGATGATGGGAATTGTAGTCCCAAAACAGCTGGAGGGCCGAGTTCGGGGATGCCTGTTCTAGGCACATTTTGCGATAGGGAGTTTCATTAGCACGGGCATTTTCTGAGCTCTGGGTGCAGTACTGCGCCTAGGATTTCAAGATAAAAATTGTAGAGTGGAAGGAAAGGAGAACCTTTTTCTGCCTCCCCGCTTCCAGTGACTCTCAGAAGACTGGAGAAGAGACCCTCTCAAGAATATTACAGGGGTGGGCAGGGGAAGGACTAGACCATGTGAAAAACGAATGTAATATTTTAGCTGCAGTTCATTCATTTTCAGCTTTGTATTCTTGTTATTTAAAAGGCACGCCTAGACATTCGGTTGTGGCGCCCATAACCTGGGTTTAAGGTGCCATTTAGCTCCTAACTTTCATATCTTGGTTTCTAACACTGCTGTGCAGGGATGGCCATATTTATGTCTGTGAAGAGGCTTGCGCAACAGCATTGGTTTTTTGAACTGTGTGCAGTAGTGATGACCATTGACTTGGATGGCCTTACACTGTGAGAACCGAATGCTTGGTCTGATCCTGCAGGGATTTTCCTAGGTGGTTCTCCTCCTCCTCCTCCTCCTCCTCCTCCTCCTCCTCCTCCTCCTCCTTCTTCTTCTTATCTTTTAGTGTGAGCAACCCTTCATAGGAGAACTAACTCATTTGAAATGAATGGAATGCACTCTGTTTGTTGCAAGGGCATGCCCTGGATTGGGGCAGCCATTCAGGGACTCTCAAGTGTCCTCCTTGCCAATTGAAGTATAGCTTAATTTAATTGCATCTGGATGGATAGGTGTAAGAGGACTTGGCAGGAAGGGTGGGGGTGGGGGGGGGGAGAGGCAGGCAGGGAGAAAGGAATGATGTCATCGCATAAACTTTCTCCTCCCGTGATTCTGAATCACCTGTTTTTCCTCTCTTGACCACCTGAGGTTTTTTGTTTTTTTTTAACTTCCTTGTAGAAATGATGTAAGTTTTGGCTGCGAGGTGATCCTAGCTGGTGTGCTGTGTATTTTTTCTTTTGAAGATGCAGTGACTTCCTTTTCTTCATTGGTTTGTAGAATTTATATAATGTTCTCTCTCTCTCTCTCTCTCTCTCTCTCTCTCTCTTTATGCAAATCATGATCAGCAGATATAATTGGATGGGGGATCTATATCCGTTCATGTACATATACAACAGTAACAAATGACACCTTCTAAAAACTAAGCAGAAACAGAATAAAACTGTATTATAAGTAAAACTGGGCAGTGTACGATTGAAAGTTGGGAATTGGAGACCTTGAAATATTGTGTAAACTTCTTAAAGAGGCATCTAAAGCTAGCGTCTGTCTTCCTCTCAAACAACCAGGCAGTGGCGTAGCGTGGGGGGTGCAGGGGGGGGCTGGCCGCACCGGGCGCAACATCTGGGGGAGGCGCTCGCACTCACAGCTCTAAAATCCATGGGTTAGGGGGCGCAAATTAATTGCCTTGCCCCGGGTGCTGACAACCCACGCTACGCCACTGCAACCAGGGGGACAGTATTCTAAAGATGGGTGCTACAGCCCAGAAGTCCTGCTTCCTCATCGATAAGTGATAATCTGCTGGTCATGGGATGACTAACAGGATCTCCTTGGAAGATCTTAAAGCTCTGTTGGGCCTGTGCTGAGACGGCCAGGGATCTGCAGGATCCCAAGCTGTTGCATCACCGCATCGGGCCTGATCTGGGGCTGATCATCCTGCTCTGCAACTTCCACCCCAGCTGTCAGGAACAGCAGGCCTGCAGATGTTTTGATAGCTCCCCACTGGCGGGAGTGGGAAAATTTGGATTGCACCTCAATTATAACAGCAATGTTCAGTTTTGACATATGCACCACATCGCAAACCAGCCTTGCCACAGATGGTGAATCTGCATCCCCTTACACACTTTCCCTTTCCAGCCGCTGTACTATGAATGTTTATTTATGGCTCCTTTGAAATCATCTGACATGACCGTGTTGGGAGAGGAGTTGCCGTTGGCTTCTAAAATTTACAGTTGGCTTCTAATAATGTTACAGTAGATGAGTCCTGCAAAAAAACCTCTGCCTCTTTCCTTAACGTGTTCTCTACATGCCAACATGTATGTGCTCGAACACATCCAACACAAGGTCCCAGAAGAAGCACTAAAGGTGAGCATTTGCATTCCTTTTTGTGTTTGTTTCTTTTGGGGGGGGATGAGAATAAGGGGGGCTATTTATGACACGCGCTAGTGAACTATTCCTACAGCTCAGGGAGATTGCATGAGTGGCTCGACACCATTTTCTTTCTGCTGCTTAGCTTGCAAAATCCCCCAAAACGGGCGTCGGGGAAATGGGATTTCCCAGATTCCTAGGAGGCGTGGGATCTGGTGCCTCTGATAGCTCTCCTAGCAGTAGAAATGAGGGGCTGCGTGGCTCAGTGGTGGGATGCATGCTCTGCATGTTTCCATGGATAACGAGATCAGCTGATATAGGGAAGGTCATTTCTATGCCTGTAGAGAGTGTCAGGGAATTCTACTCAATATTGATCCAGAGCAGATTCCAACGTATAGTTAGCAGAGTAAAAACTTAAACATGTTGCAGGATTCCCCAAAAATAGACCAGAGGCAATTAATATTTCATCTAGCAGAGCTTTACTGCTACTGAAGGCAAATGAGCATAATGGTCACAAATCCAATACAATCAGGATTGGCACTGTCCATAAGAAATCCAGTTGCTGTCAATAAAGTTTTATTAAGATTTCCATTAAAAACACCAAACGTATCCATTTACATATCACATAGTTTGTCTTATTTGGACCTCCCACAACTTCTCTGACAATCATTCGTAGTTCAAATTTTATCTTCATATTCCTTTGTTTCGATATTCCCATCATATTTTATATTTCTATTCTTATTTACATTCTGGTAATATTTCCTTATATTTTCACAAAGCTTCTTTAAAACACACTAGCGTTGTACCCTCCTCACATGTGTTTTCCAAATACTCCTTAAAAGAAGTCCTTAAATACTCCTTAAAAAGAAATCCAGTTGCAGCAGACTTAACTTAAATTTACAATAACTTATAATAACACGAAACCTTAACACTAAGCGTACAGTCATACCTCGGGTTACAGCCACTTCAGGTTGTGTCTTTTTGGGTTGCAGACTGGCAAAACCCAGACGTAACCCTTTCCGGTACTTCCGAAACCCGGAGATACCAGAACGGGTTACTTCTGGGTTTCGGCAGTTGCGCATACGCAGAAGCGCTAAATCACGCTTTGCGCATGTGCAGAAGCGCCAAATTGCAACCCGCAGACGCGGGTTGCGAACGTGCATCCCGCACGGATCACGTTTTCAACCTGAGCGTCCACTGTACTATGTACAGAACACCACACCAGAAGGAAGAGAGACAGAAAGAGAAAGTGAAGCCCAGGCTCCTTCTGGCCTAACTTTTATAGTCAGCATGACCTTGACTGAAAGAGATAACTGAACCAGCTGCACTCAGCTTCTCGGAAGGCATAACCCAAACACCACGAACCTTCTGCTTGTTTCTTTCACACAGAGAAGTTTCCAGAACCCTCTTGAATCAATTAGAATAGGAAAGATCTGTACACAACAGATCAATACTTTCTGTGCTAAAAAATGCAAACGGACTCTTCCCCTGCATCCGGGTAGATAGTATTGGCTTAAGCTTAAGTGTGGGGAACATTTGGCTCTCCAGATGTTGATAGAATTGTAGGGTTGGGAGGGTCCCCCAAGGGTCATTCAGTCCCACCCCCTTCAATGCAGGAATCTCAGTTAGATCATACAGGACGGATGGTCATCTAACCTCTGCTTAGAAACTCCCAGTGGAGGAGAGTGAGTGTGGCGTGCACAATTCATTCTGAGCTTCTCATTCAGCCTTGTTGATGAGAACAGGTGTTGTGCAAAAAGCACAGATGCACCTTTGCACCACCACTCCCATTTATTTCAGAGCTTTCCCATGAGAAACACCCAGCGCAGTATGCTGAAACAATCTTAGATCAGAGTTAATCCCCACCTGGCAGTTCCGTGTTTTGCCAAGACTGGTACTTCGCTGATTATTATATATCTCCACCTGTTCCATAGGATAGGCTGCCTTCACCATGTCAAGGTTTTGGCCCATAGTCATGAGCTCTAGCAATTTCACTTACTTTTTCTTTTAAAGCCAGCCAGTGACGAGGTTCTTATGAAAGTCCATGGCTCAGGCAAAGTTGTCGGGCAGGATTCGGGCCATGTTTTGGCTGCCCGAGCCTGAGAAAATAATACGCACATCGTAAGAAAGAAACACAACAGTGCAGATTGGAGATCTTGTGTGAATTCTGTGGCAGGGCAAAAGAGCTTCTACAAAAGATCGGTGTGTGTGTGTGTATTTGGAAAGAGTGGCTTGTTTTAGCAACGGGTTATAAGAAATGTCTCCAGCCTTCTTAGAAATCCAGGAAGCTGCCAAGGACACACAAAACAAAGCCCATTTCACAGAAAGAAAAACTAGTGATGATCGCCTTTCCGAACGACAACAGGCAGAACATCTACAACCCCCACAAAAAAATAAAACATGCACGCACACAAGTAGGCAGGCTTCCCAAGCAGGCAGACCACCTCAAAAGTCCAACCCCCGTCAGCTTTTTAAAATATTAAAAATAAGGGGTCTGAGGGTGCCATGGTGTCTATATGCACTGCCCCAGGACTGCAAAGAAGCCCCATTTCTCCTCAAGCTTCTTGCCTTTGTGCACCCCCCCCGCAAAATACCGTATTTTTCGCTCTATAGGACGCACTTTCCCCCCTCCAAAAATGAAGGGGAAATGTGTGTGCGTCCTATGGAGCGAATGCAGGCTTTCGCTGAAGCCTGGAGAGTGAGAGGGGTCGGTGCGCACCGACCCCTCTCACTCTCCAGGCTTCAGGAAGCTATCCGCAAGTCTTCAGAGCGCAGCGGGAGTTCCCGCCAGGCTCAGAACGATTGCGGATAGCAGCAAGCTCCGGGAGCGAAGGCGAGGACCCATTCTGGGGGCTGGGGTCGGGGGAAGATTGGGCTTCCCCCGCCCCAGCCCCGCGGCTAAAAAGGAAGCCAAAACAGTGAGCGAGATCCATCCCGCTCGCTGTCTTGGCTTCTACCAAAGCCGCGTGCAGCCTCTCCTGACTGGAGAGGTTGTGCGTGGCTGAAGAGGAAGCCATCCCACTGGCTGTCTTGGCTTCTTTGCTCTTTGGGGCGGGGGGGGGAATTATCCCCCCCCAAAAAAAACCTAGGTGTGCCCTATGGTCCAGTGCGCCCTATAGAGCGAAAAATACGGTACTACCATTTTTTTTTCATTTCCCCATTCCTGTTTAATCCTCACACTGTAACAATGACAAATTATTAATTTCAATTTCAATGTTCCTGCATTGCAGGGGATTGGACTAGATGACTCTGATGTTCCTTTTCAATTCTAAACTTCTTTGATTCTGGGTGTGTCCCCCCCCCCCCCCGCAATGGGCCAGACAGTTCCATCCAAGCACCGACTAGGCCCAGAGATGCTTTGCTTTGTCCCAGTGGCAGCTTCGTATGCATTCAGACCCATGCCCTGAGTGTTCACATCAACCTGTTTGCAGGTGTTCACACCAGCTGTTCCTCTGTGCCCACACATACTTCCAAGTCACACCTCTCACCATCCCTGACTTGTTTTTGCCTGGCTGGAATGTGTCCTTGAACAGTGCCGGATTTACGTATAAGCTAAACAAGCTATAGCTTAGGGGGCCCCGCTCTCGAGAGCCAGTGTGGTGTAGTGGTTAAGAGCGGTGGACTCGTAATCTGGTGAACCGGGTTCGCGTCTCCGCTCCTCCACATGCAGCTGCTGGGTGACCTTGGGCCAGTCACACTTCTCTGAAGTCTCTCAGCCCCACTCACCTCGCAGAGTGTTTCTTGTGGGGGAGGAAGGGAAAGGAGAATGTTAGCCGCTTTGAGACTCCTTTGGGTAGTGATAAAGCGGGATATCAAATCCAAACTCTTCTTCTTCTTCTCCCCTTGGGCCACCCCTCCCCCCAAAAAAAATCAAAGGAAAAAACCCCTGAATGTACATTTCCAAAATATAAGATAAAAAAATAAATAAAAATAAAACGTACATACAGCAACAGTGTTTTGTGTTCTGTAGGCTCCTATGATGTTAGTAATGGGCCCCGCCTGCTAGCCTGCTCCCTAAAATATCACATATAAAGGGCCCCATTACCTTCAGTAGTTTAGGGCCTCATCAAATTAAATTTTCATTAAATCCGGCCCTGTCCTTGAACTCCGACAATACTTCTTGCTTGCCTGGATAGTGGCTAGAGAGTGTGCGAATAAGCTTGCCCGTGAATAAACTTAACGCTTATTTTGTTCTACCCAAAAATTGTCTCGCGGCCCCCGAAGGCTTGCTCAGAATGGGAGAGTTGCCCTTGGGCTGGGAGAGGGTTTTCCCCCCACCCCACCCTTGCGCTATAGACGTTTGTGTGTCTCTCTTTTGCCCTTCAGCATGAGAAATACACCAGCCAGCTGCAGATGAGCTTCAAAAGTGCAGTCATGAAAAGGGTAGAGCAGCCTTTGGAGCACGGCGGAGAGACCGAGTCGCCCCAAGCGAAGCTGGAGAAAGGCGAGAAGAAAGCAATTACAGGTACCTGTATGGGAAAACCAGTTGGCCGGGCACCGAAACGAGTCTCTCTCTCTCTCTCTCTGTTGCAAGTCTTGATTTTGCCAGTGATTAGGAGTTAGCTGTTCAGCAGGAGTGTGGGGTTGCCATCGTGGATCTGGTGCAATGTAACCTTGCCTCTTCTTAAAAGGTAAAGGGACCCCTGACCATTAGATCCAGTCGCGAACAATTATGGGGTTGCAGCGCTCATCTCGCTTTATTGGCCGAGGGAGCCGGCGTACAGTTTCCGGGTCATGTGGCCAGCATGACTAAGCCGCTTCTGGTGAAACAGAACAGCACACGGAAACGCCGTTTACCTTCCCTCCAGAGTGGTACCTATTTATCTACTTGTACTTTGACGTGCTTTAGAACTGCTAGGTTGGCAGGAGCAGGGACCGAGCAACGGGAGCTCACCCCGACGCGGGGATTCGAACCGCCAACCTTCTGATCGGCAAGCCCTAGGCTCTGTGGTTTAACCCACAGCGCCACCCGCGTCCCAGATTGCCTCTCCTTACCCATGCCAAAATGAGATCTACTTGAGATTTGAACTCGCTCCCACAGGAGGCAGCGGTGGGCTTGGGTGGCATTAAAAGAGAACTTTGGCAGATTTGCGGAGGAAAAAGTTATGAGTGGCTACCAGCCAAAATGGCTTTGTTCTGCCTCCATGGACGGAGGTAGCAAAACTTAAACTGTGGGTTTTCAAAAATTGTTTTCGTTCATTATTATGGTATGATTTTTTGCGTTTTTATATTGTAAACCTCCTTGTGATCTGTGGATGAAGGGCAGTATAATAATAATAATAATAATAATAATAATAATAATAATAATAATAATGCTAGTGAATAGCAGTTCGTGGAAGCCAGAGAGGTGATTTCTCTTGTGATAAAATCCAGCTTGCAGCTTTCCTATAGACATCCGATCGGCCACTGTGAGAACAGGATGCTAGATGGGCCATTGGCCTGTTCCAGAAGCCCTCTCTCTTCATGTTACTATTCTTAAGAGGGTCTTCTTTGATTACTTTTTATCTGGATATACAGGCATGATGTTTAAGGCAGCTTTTTAGCTGTTCTGCGTTGTCTCGCCATTTTGCTTCTTACGTCGACTCTTTTATCAAACCCACCTATATAGGGAGTATTATTAAAAGGTGCAGTATAAAGAAATAATAAAAGGAGTAAATAATAAAGTTGCATTCGGTGCTGGTCACACTGAGAGTCGACCCATTAATGGACTTAGGTTAGTCATATCTGTACCTTTTCAGTGTGACTAGCACTGACTACAACCCTAAATCTCTGATAAATGGGGCTCAATCAGAACTGCATCAAATACAAGGCAGGTTCTTCCTTCCCTTTCCCCCTGTTTTCCTCATGTTTCTCTATTTCAGGGTTAAGCAAAATCTCACTTTCAAATAAACGCGAATCCTCTTGATTCCAGGCGTTTCCTCCTCTGGGGATTAGCCCGTAAGCCAAATCTTTCACCCAGTTTCATCATGCTCTGAGGTGGGAAGAAAGGCTTCTCTCTGGCATCGCCTGAGAGGCCGCCATCTTGAGTGGCAGGTCCCTCTGGTTTTTGCTGGACTCCAGCTCCTATTAGTTCTGCTCAGTATGGCCAATGGTAAGAGATGGTGGAAATTCCAGTCTCGCACCATGTTTCCTGGCCATCTGCCTGGCCTTAGGCCTGATCTGGCAGCCAGAGCCTTCTCAAGTTCTTATTGGAGGGCCGCAGTTTGAGGCAAGGCTGGTGTGGAGAACAGAATAAATAGAATAAATGTCTGGAAAGGGTCTGAGGAGAACTAGGCCGAGGAGTATAGCTCAGTGTAGTTGCTCTTTAATTGAATTACCGTGTTTTCTGCCGTATAAGACGACCCCCAACTTTGGAGAATATTTTCTGGGGTTCAAAAGTCATCTTATACGCCAGAACATACAGTAATTATATTTTAAGAATGCACACACCTCAGTAAAGCTTAAGCAATATTCCAAAAGGTATGGGACAGGGGTGGTGAAAGCTGAAGAGACCGACCCCTTCCTCTCCCCTCAACCACCTATTATTAGCGTTGTCTCGAAGGCCAGTTGTTGCCCTGGCAACCCCTTGTGCGTTAGAAGGAAGGAAGGCCGCCTTGCGCAAGGAAGTTTTGATGCTTTATTCTGCTTTATATTTGCTGGAAGCCGCCCCAGAGTGGTTGGGGCAACCCAGTTAGGTGGGGTGGGGTGCAAATAATGCAATTGTTGTTATGATTAAGACTGACAGGAGTCTCCTTTCAGTTCGCCCTTAAAGCCCATCTCAGTTGCAAAGGGAAGGGAAAGGGATCCTTTGCTGGACTTATGGAGGCTAGTCTCAGTGACGGCAGTTTCTCGTGACCTTAATCTTCCATGCAGGCGTATTTGTCCTTGCAAAAATCCTCTCTAAGCTGGAATCAGGTATTAGAGCCCTGCTTTCGCTGGTGGTTCTTTATTTGAGCTGAGAGAGAGTTGGTTCTTTATTTGAGCTGAGAGTTCGCAGGCATGCAACTACCTCTTTTTCATTCATGTGTTGTGTTCAAAAGGCACACCTCCTCCCTTTCGGGACTTGTCTCCATTTACCTTTCCTCCGTTCGTTCCAGGCACAGTCTGTGATTTGAAGCTCCAGGTCCGAGAGCCCTTTTTTGCCTTGAGCTTTCCCTGCCAACCCCCCCCCCCAGCTCTTTTTAAAGCTCGATCGTCAGTCCGAGGAAAACCCAAACTGATGTTTGCTTGGATTCAGCTTAAAAGAGCTGGTTTCTGTGGGGAAAGTTCGGGGCAAATACAAATATAAATGCTTGGACATTGAGCTTTAAATCGTGGAAAGAGGGGCAAAATATAAGGGTGAGCAAGCCCTGTGTGGCTGGTGGCTGTCAGTTTTACCTGTGACGTCTCCGGCAGACATGACAAGCTCCGTTTTGCATTGCTCGGAGCGAGCCAGGAGTTTGCGTTCAGCGGGAGCCGCTTCCCGTGATGAGCTGCGACAGCAGACAAAGGTGAAAGGAAGCGACTGTCTTCTCAGCCCCGAAGGAAACTTTCCGGTGGCAACAGCTGTCATGCGAGCCAGATCCTTGCCGTGCCGTTGTAAAGCACAACCGCCCTCCCGTGTCAATCCCCAGAGTAATTAATTCGCATCCCTTGCCCGTCCTATCTTGTCGGCTGCTGGAGATTACACAAGTTTGCCTACATCTGGGGCAGCCAATGTGCCATCATCCAGATTCTGGACTGCAGCTGCCATCATACCTGACCATTGGCCGTGCTAGCTGGGGGTGATGGGAGTTTCAGCCCAGTACCATCTGGAAGGCTGCCATGTTGACTATGCACCTTGCAAACTAACATTTGCAGTAGTTCTGCTGGAAATTGGTGGGAAGTTTAGGCATGCTCAGAGTTCTGTTAGAACCCAACTTTACAGGTCTGCAGGCCACCCTGCTGCTTTTGAGCTTCTTGGCTGTGCCCGTCTGTTGCCTGCACATTTGCAAAACTAAACAGGGTCCGGTATGGTTTCAGATTGGATGGGGGGCTGTGTGTTGAGATTCCTGCATTGCAGGGGGTTGGACGAGATGACCCTGGGAGTCCCTTCCAGCCCTACAATTCTATGGTTCTATGTTTAGCATTACTAAGAAGAGGATCTAAGTGTGTACAGCTGCATTGCTGCGGCACCTGTGGGTGCCTGGGGTGTGGCCAGTTGGGTGTTTGGAGCCATGGCCAATAGACGTGGTCTTGCCTTCCCTGCCATCCATTTTTGGTGTATGGGCAGATGTCTGTCCATACCACCTGTCTGGGCAAGTAGTAGTAGTAGTAGTAATAATAATAATAATAATAATAATAATAATAATTTTACCCCACCCATCTGACTGGGCCTCCCCAGCCACTCTGGGCGGCTTCCAACAAAATATTAAAATACAGCAATGCATCAAACATTAAAAGCTTCCCTAAACAAGGCTGCCTTCAGATGTCTTCTAAAAGTCTGGTACTGTAGTTGTTTATCTCTTTGACATCTGACGGGAGGGCGTTCCACAGGGCGGGCGCCACTACCGAGAAGGCCCTCTGCCTGGTTCCCTGTAACTTCGTTTCTTGCAGTGAGGGAACCACCAGAAGGCCCTCGGCGCTGGACCTCAGTGTCCGGGTAGAACGGTGGGGGTGGAGACGCTCCTTCAGATATACTGGACTGAGGCCGTAGCTGTATCAAAATCCAGATCTGGAAGTGTGTGTTGTAAAAGTGATGTGAAGTACCTTGGGGAACCGCAGTTTGTTAAGGGTGCAGAGCAGGGGTAACCAATGTGGGGCTTCCAGATGTTGTTAGACTACAACTCCCATCATCAACTGCTGGCTGAGGCTGATGGGAGTTGTAGTCCAACCATACCTGATGCTGATTGCCCCTGCTGCAGAGCACTATTGCGTCAATTTAACACTCATGGCTCCCCTCAAAGCATCACTGGAGCTCTGCAAAGAGTGCAGAGAGTTGTCAAGAGATGCCTATTCGCGTCACAGAGCTACAATTCCCAGAGTTCCTTGATTGTTAAACGACTCTGGGAACTGTAGCTCTGTGTGGGGAATCGGGGTTGCCTGTCAATTCTCAGCGCCTTTAACAAACTGCAGTTCCCTGGATTCTTAGGGGAAGCCATGGCTGTTTAAAGTGGTATCAAGCTGCTTTTAAGTGTATTGTGCGGATGTTGTCCCACCAGAGCAAGGACTTCAACGGGAGCCCTGCAGTGCAGGCGGAACATGGTAGACTGACAGGGCAAAGGTAAAGGTGAGGCCCCTGTTATTTCTGCCATGCCTCGCATAATAGGCTTCATAATATCTGCCAATTACAACACCTGATGTTACACCCCCCATTCACTTCTGAGGCGGAACAGGGCTCCAGGGCTCGAGCACTTACTTGTCCCAGGTCACTCACAAATTTAGATATCAGGCTCAGGCACATTCTATGTTCTGGAATCCGTTGGTCTAAAATTGCTTGCTTTCCACAGGCAGGGAATCTCTTTTTGA